GGGCCTTTTGGCTAAGAATCGCGCTGCCCTCAGCGTGGGCGGGCCTTCGGGCTGAGAATTACGCGAGAAGAGCCTTGCTTGCAACTACGGTTGCGACAGGGTATTCAAACCCAGTCTGCCGGAGAATAGTTAGCTAAGTAGGACTAACGGTGTCTCCAGCCGAAGTGTGCGATGGGTCCGCAGACTGGGAAGGGTTGAAACAATACTTGAGCGCAGGTAAGTTTATATTATATCTCCTTTTTTCTATTTCCATCGCACCAGGCGTAGGCTCTTTTCAAGAGCCGGGGGACACCTCTAGTTTAAATAAATACAGTCGATGCTTGGCAATTGCTTGGCACAATTTTTCCTGTCGAAATCTTTATCTTGCAACATATGGGTTGAGTTCTTGAATCAGGGTTCCGTGTTTGAGACGAAAGTTAAATCGCTGCTTTGGTTTTAAAGGGGTATGTATGCTTTGAGAAAGGGTACCGCCACCAATTTTATCAGGACTACATTTTTACCACCAATTTATGGGGCTTAAGGGTTTCGCGTTTCATTTCCCGCCTTCTCAGGAAAGACTTCGTGGGTCGGATCCTCTGCCGTCTTGAGTGCTGACGTGGTGCAACATGATGCAGGCAGGGGTATGGGTATACGAGGGTTGGGGCCACAAAAAAGAAAAGGGATCATATGACAGGGGGGCTTGTCGACCATTTTGGATTGAAAACTGCTGTTTAGAAAGGGTTTTGGTACCATTTCTCCTTTTTCTATGTTGGTTGTGTTCAGCTTTGACCCTTGAGGCCCAGAGAGCCAATATGACGCTAAGGCCAGGACAAGGGGTGTGTTGTCGTGAGCCGCCGTTCGTCTGCCTACACGCAGCTTCTGAGCCACACCTGTGGTGCCACGGAATAGTTTCAACCACAAAGTCGTCTATGTCAGCACAAGCTTCACTGAGGCATGTTGCGTTCTATGCTGTAGCCTGTTGTTTTCACGCCATTTGTTTCGGGCGGGCAGGTTTCAGATGCCTATGACCAGGCGCAGGCTTTGGGCAGATTTGAGCTAGTTTTGGAAAGCCTGGTTTCGGGCAGTTGGACTAATCTAAAATTCCTTAAATTTCGACACTTTATGAAGAGTGTTCAAGCCTGTGGTCTTTGAGCCGTCGATGGGCTTTCGCGCTGAGGTCTTTGACATAATCTTCATCATCCCGTTGGCACCCTGGCAAGGACATCCTGTTGGGCATCTTCCTGGCGATTTTGTCTTGTTCTTTGCGTATGGCTTTCTAGGTCATGGCTGCATCTTGAAAACATGATCTTGCTTAGGCTTAGAATTACTTCTTGCGCAGGACTGTGGAGCCGGTTACCAATACCGTTTTATCCACAAGCCCCTCGGCTGCGAGCAAGCGTCTCTAGTGGTAAGACCGCATCTCGACAATGGGATTGGTAGGCATGTTGTCGTCGCGCGATGGAGGAGCCATTGAAGCCGCGCGGCCATTCAAAGTTGATTTGGCCATTCTAACTCTCATAGCCAGCTTGATTTCTGGTAGGCAACCCTCTTTCATAGGATAGTATGAGCGGTCGCCGCCTCGAATGGACTAGGCGTGGCTTGGACAGAGGCCCTGAAAGCTGGACCTTGCTTAGCCCTGATCATGTTAGCGCTGCCCAACTACTTGGTGGCATCGAGGATGCCCCGTCTTGGTGGTTCATGCCGAACTTTCCATGCACGGACCCGGACTCTGGGGTCTTTCTAGGGTGCACTTTCGTTGCCTGGCACCAAGACGAGCCCGGCGTAGCTGTCTACAAGGCTGAGGAGTGGCATTATGAAGAATGGCTGAGCTACCCTGCGGGCGAAGTTTTCGTGCGTGAAGTTCCTGCCGCATTAGTTGTGAGTTGCACTTTGGCCCACATCGAAAACAGAGATTTCGAGGTGACCTACACCACTTTGGCAGGCACGGTGATGCTTCACATACCCAAGGTGTCCAACTTATCACAGAACATGAAAGAACTTACTCTCGCCCCAACCCTTGCAGCCGCAGCCCAAGGGCGCCTGAAGAGCCGCAACCAAGAAGTGCAGACAGTCTTGGCTGGTCAGTCGGACCCCCTTGGTGCCACGCTCGTTCCTGAATTGTTTTGGGGTAAGCTGAAAGCACGAGATGCTGCAGAACGATGAAAGCACGGCGCGCGGTAGAAGGAGAAAAAAAAGAAGCAGCCGCTTGTACCGTGTCGCCTGCCTTCGCTTTGTGTTTGAATCTCGCATCGCATTGCGCGCGCGCGCTTTAGCACCTACTTGGCCCGCAATCTTTGTTCATAACTTCTGCACGCCGGCTGCGTTGTCCGCTGAGGCCACTTGCCGCGCTTTGCTGTCT